CTAGAAAATTTAAAATTACTTACAAAGCTCACATTTGTGGCTTGCATTATATTTCCATTGGACAGAGCTGGTCCAGACAGTCACATTTAGAAAGGTCTAAACAACTACATCCCTCCATCTTAGGCAACCCAAAGCAGCCTGTTCAGTTCAGAGGAGAAGGATTCCCAAATACAATTCTCCCATGGACACCCCCAGCCTGCTGTTTTGTGTCCCTTGACCTCCCCTTTCAAAGATTGTGTATTTTGGTAAAGAAGCCATTCATTCTTGGGAGTTTGGGAACAGCGAAGATTTGATTTTCAGGAATAGGTGCACATAGGTTGAGGGAAGGAGGGTGTGGAATATTGGGTTGCTACAACAATGACTTACTGTTGAAGAATAGCAAACTAATTATCAGATTACAATTTTCTCAGCCTACCAGGGTGGGTAATTATCTTCCTTGGAGGCTCCTTAAAAAAAAAGAAGAAAGAAAGAAAAAGAAAAGATTTCTTCCCAGCAACTAGCTACTTTGTCCTTTCAATTCAATTCAATTCAATTCAATTCAATTCAATTGGGGGTAGTTGCATAAAGGGAAAAATTAACACATTAATGGCTGAAATGGAAACAGAGAGAGACATACTAGAAATGTCTTCCTTTAGTTCTGAAGCCAGGCTTACTTTTGCCCATCAAAATGGCAAGTCCTGGGTTAATCGAAATGGGGCACTGCACAAGCTTTCTTCAAACATCCCATAAGGAGCCTTCTGGGCTCAGATTTTATCTGCTTACCATAGTCCCATGACCTTCTTCAAAGACAGACATGGCTAATGGGACTTGGAATCTAAGAGTTCATCAGCTCTCCCCAATGAAAATGAGAGCTCCTTATAGCAATATTATATAGACAACCAAATCCTTCCTTAACTTGAGTTTAGAGCCTAGCAACTGACATTCCATTTGGGGCAAACTCATTATTGGCAGGAGTGGGGATTGAACTTGGAGGGAATAAAGTAGAAGAATTTTTATTTATTCATGGGCAGAACAGGAAAGAGACAACTTAAGAACTAAGGAATAAGGAATCAAATTATGATGCAAATTACAGACCAAATAGCATCAATTGACTAAACCTCAAGTCAAACTGAACCCACGTATTAATTGAACCATGAATTTGACTAAATATATGTATTTGAAAATCTAGCAAACTTGTTCAAACCAGAATCAAACCTATATATTTTCTAATGAATTAGAACATCAAAACATTCCTTTAACTGAACCTGAACTGAGCCAATGTTTCATTTGGTTTGAGTCCGTACTAAAGAGGAACAATTTTGGCTTTTGTTTACCTTCAAAGGAAGGTAGTTAAAATTCTCTAGAAATGGCCTTATCTTCCACAACCTTTAGTTACTCAGGTTGAATGAAGGAATGTGAATCCATCCACAAGTCTCAGATCCAAGACAGACTAACACAGGATGGAAACAGGGTGGTACTACCATTGGTGTCCTAGAAAAGAACAAAGAATTTCAGCCCCACCCAACACCATTATTCTTTGGTTAAATGTATACTAACCTGAGTATGTCCCATGCTAACAGCTCAGAAAAACCTTGACACTTTATGAAATAATTCTTTCTTCTTAATGTCTATAAGGACAAATTTATGCTAATACAAAACTATGCATTGTCTATAGTTCATCCTTCTGGTTATCTGATTCTGATTCTGTGAAAGCTGTTGTACAACTCTGTAAGTTGGAAATAACTGATAAGAATGGAAAATGATTTTTATCTATAGAGATGCAAATTCTGTCTTATCCAAAATGGAAACCAAGTCTTAAGGAAGGTAAGAAACTTGTCCCAAGTCACAAAGCTGGGAAGTGGGGTAGTTGGGCCTTCCTAGAGAGATGTCCCCCTCTCCTCTTCCATATCCTATCCTCCTCCTCCTCCCAGATTGGAATGGTACTGAGTGAGGTAGAGGTAGAAAGGGGAAAATGGGTATGTCAAATGCAAACCTTACCTGAAGTACTATTTTGACTGAGATCAGCTTTGCCACTGTGGAATGTTCACTGAGTAGATGCCCTGGAGTTGGCTCTACACTGCCATGGAATGGGCAAGGTTATGTTACGTGGATCCTTTTATACTTTGAGGCTGAAATCATGTGGCAGCTCTAGACACGTCATCTGAGATGAGCTCAAACATTCTGGAAATTGCCATGAAGGCTAGCTAGACTAGAGTTTGGCTTCATTTGTGTTCATGAACTATCTGAAATGAAGATTTAAATTCTCTCTATTGAGAAAACCACTTTAGATTTTTTAATGGTAAGGAAGAGGAGCTCTTTGTAATTCTGTTATCTGCCAAGTAAAGTTCCCTTTTCCCCTCTCAAATTGATTACTCTGTTTATCTTGTATGTGTGAATACATTCTCATTCCTTCTCTTTAGCAAGGGAGTTCTGAAGGAGCAAGAGCAGATCTTGTCTGCCTAAGCATGGGTTGGGATCTATTATAACTCCTTTCAATTTGACAAATATTCATAGAGTCCTAATGCATTCCTGCTCTGTCTCTAATATCTTAGAATCAGTGAAGTGCATATTTTGTAGAAGGGAAACTGTAGGTAGCCTGCTGGAGATCCATAATTTGACATATGTTTAACCTGTGTTTAACTACAGGTGGTTGTGTTCATGTGTTCTGGGTAATCCAATCGGATATAGTTTGCAAAGAGAATCTATTTACTTCAAGCTGCTGCCACATCAGCATTTCTAACTCATGGGTTATGTCGTAGTTTAAAAATAGGTCCATAAATTCTTTGATACTAGTCCCTTCAAGAGGTGGAGCCTGATTCCCCTCCCATTGAATGTGGGGTGGACTTAGTGACTGCTTCTAATGAATAGACTAGAACAGAAGTGACAGTATGTGGCTTTAGAGACTAAATCATAAAAGGTACTACATCTTCTTCCTTATTCACTCTCTTGAATCACTGTCTGGGGAAAGATCCTGCCAACAGCCATCTTGGAAGTAGATTCTACAGTCTCAGTTAAGCCTTCAGATGACTGCAACCCCTACCAATACCTTGACCTCAACTACATGAGAGATCCTGAGCCACAGAACCACCCAGCTAAGCCACTCCAAATTCCTGACCCACAGAAACTGTGATATAGTAAATGTTTGTTGTTTTAAGCCACTAAGTTTTGGGGTAATTTGTTTCATAGCAAGAGATAAGTAATACAGGTTAGAAATCCCAGAAATAACCAGTGATATTTCTGAAAAACGATTAACTAAGTGATTATTGCCAGACTTTATGAATCTTGATCAAATGTTTACAGTCCATTTTTTTTGCAAGGCCCTGCTTAGAATCTGTACAAACAATTTCATTCTCAATCCAAGTGTTAAACCCTAGGTCTTTGTAGTTTGAGCAATACGAATTTGCTTAGATAGATTCATGTGCTGTTCTGTATACTTAACCAAAATATCACCAAATGCATGCGTTTTTATTCCTTCAGCAAAAAGTACCTAAATGCTTACTGGGACTCCAGCACCATGCTGGATGAAATAGGTGCTCTTACGCAACTGTTAATTCACAAGCATTATTTGAGCATCTACTAGGACCCGTGCACTGTGCTCAGCACTGAGGATACAAAAATGAACATGACATCTTGCCCTTGAGGGGTCCAGTATTTAGTTGGGGAAGCAGACAGATAAATACATACTTTACAACATAGTGTGGTGAATGTTATCCCAGACATATGAAGAACATGCTATGATATTCCAGAATGAAACAACTATTTCTATTTGAAGTATTGAAGGATGAATAGGAATTTTTCAAGCAAAGAAGAATGATGGGATAGAGGGATAGCATTCCAGGTGCATGGGAAAAGGGTGTGCAAAGACACGGAAGAATGAAAAACCTGAGCTGCCTCTTCAGTTTAGTTCCTTCTGCCTGAGAATGAAGAGATGGTTGGTGATATGCATGCTCCTGGCAATGTAAGAACAGCAGGATAGGCTGTTTTTCTAGGACACAGGCATTTCAAAGCCAATAGGCTGTTCAACCTGCCTCAAATTGAAGAAGAGATAAAGGGTGCTTGTGCTCTCTGTCCCAAGGCTCTCAGACTAGAAGAATTCTCACAGTGAACCCTGAGCCTTGGGAGGACAAATATGTAAGTCTTCTGGACCATCTAATTTCCTTATCATGAAGAACTCAAACTGTCCTTGCATGAGTCTACTAAGCTTCTAAACATGGACTTCTGTGGCCTTTTGCCCTTTGGATCAGCACCACTCAAGCTGTGGGTGAAGACCTTGCACCATAGTGTAAACCAGTGTTGTAAAAACAACACTGCTGCCTTTTATCAATAAAGACATTCTATGAAAAAAGTCAGCTGAAGTAAATAGTTTGCTCAGTCGCATGATTTACATTTGGCACAAGCTCCTAATCTCATCACACACTAATAAATAATTCATGGGTTGGAAGTGATCCATGAACCACATTTTTTAGATCACTCACTCTCCACTAAATAAAATCCTATACGACAAATCTCTTTGTTTCCTTTCAGAACCTGGCCTATACTTTCTTTTCTCATTGTGAGAATGATGCAATTTATTTTCTCTCTTTGTTTTGACTTCTAAATAGTTTAAAGTGAAATTTGAAGCTCAAGTGCATCAACTATGTTGAAACTTTTGGGTGGCATTTTTTTACATTCTTGTTTTTGATTCTGATTTTCTATTTCAAATTTATGTTTGGCTCGATTATTTCATTGACTATGCTTTTGCTGGATGATGTTGAAGACGATGACAATGAAGACAACCATGACAACAAGCATTACAGCAAGCATGGCAAAGAAGCCAGATTTCTGGTCTGCATCCATTTGAGTAGAATCAAGGTTATGAATACGTCTCCATGAGTCCAAACAAGTCTGTTTAATCTCTAAATTGATAGAATTGGTATCATGGAGACACAATGGTGTTCATGAGGAACTCATTCCTCCGCATGCAGAGGGTATTTGCCTCTGTAAATGAAGTCAACGTGCACAGTTAGGAGAAGAGCACTCACCGTCTTGGTCGTTACCTGAGTCAGCAGGAGACTTGCTCCGGCGCATGGGGCCAGGGCTCTTGGCTGAACTCTTCTGAGGTGTTGGGGATGCCTTTGGGCCAGCTGTGGCTGACGGGTTTCCCTTCATGACTCGGCATTCTGGTGGAAAAGACACAGACAGCTTACTAGAGCCGGGGGAGAACTGAGGTTCAGCATATTACCAACCTCCGGAAACTGGAATAACTACCACAGACCAAAGCACCTAATGGCTGAGGACTACGAGGTGGCCCTCATTGTTTGTAGGAACGATGGCTCTGGGGAGGGAGGCATGGGAGAAACCTTCAAAAGTCACCTGGGCTGAGCCAGGTGTTTAATCCATGGATTAGGGAAACAAGGGAAGGAGTTGAAAAGCAGGTCAGGTAGGTAATTACATAGTCAACTCAATCATTTGTGGACAACCCAGCCATGTCTCAGAATAGCACCTGTTGGCATAATTAATTTCATTGGAGAAGAGATTGACAGCTCAGAGGTTGTAGCCCCACAGATGAAACATTCATGCATAATTTAAACAAGGGAAAGGGAGCTACCATTTATTGTTCATTACATGCCATGTATTATAATAGGCATACTAGGGACATCATGTCATTTTATAAATAAACACTAGGACTACCACCACCACTACTTGCATTTATAGAGTTTTTGACTTTCAATGCACATTATCATAATCCCCTATGCTGGTTTAATGAAAATATGGGCCACCAGTGACTCTGCCACTCAGAACTTATAGAAAGCTCGTGGGTGTGTGGGAGAGTCTGACAAATGTTTCTGCTGCTTGCCTCAACCCCAGACTGACACGTTTGGAGCACCCGTTCTATGCAGGTCTCTCAGCATCCCTACTATGGTAATTTGGGGGCACTGATTATGCTAATATATTAGGAGGATTATTATACTCATTTTGCTGATGAGTATAATAAAAGTATAACAAAGTATAACAAAGTGTAACAAAAGTATAACAAAGAACTAAAGCTTCTTGCTTAGGGACACAAAGCAAGAAAATGCAGAACAAGGACTAGCAGCCAAGCCTCCTGAGTCCCAGTCTAGTGTCTTTCCACTGTAGTTTTCTCAACCTTGTGCTGTGATGCTCAAAGGGGAACCAAACAGCTAGGTAGAGGGAGTCTTTTTTTTTTTGGACACCTCCTTGTCGCCTCCTATTTAAAGATACATTGATATATCTTTTCTGGTATCTTTTTTCTGGAATCTTATTTCTGGGAATCTTTTCTGGTAAATTGAGTTTTTTAGGAAGTTGAGTTAAGCAGAAAGCTTTTGTTTGTTTTACTTCTAGTTCTGGTTGATGAACTTTAGTGATCACTGTCCAGAGCTGGAGATGTAGAAGCTATAGGAAATTGGACATAGCCTGGGGTTTGCTTAGCTATTTTATGGTCATTTGCCTGTTCTCAAAGTGAACACAGCAGAAATGCCATCTCTTTCAGGGTCCTTGTCACTGAGTTGTTTGTCAAGTCTATATTAGTACAAGTCAGTTTGTTTTTCTCACACTTCACTCCTCATAATTGGGAAATATGTTTTTTTTTTTTTTAAAGATTTTGTTTATTTTATTTTTTTCCCCCCAAAGCCCCAGTGGATAGTTGTGTGTCATAGCTGCACATCCTTCTAGTTGCTGTATGTGGGACTCGGCCTCAGGATGAACGGAGAAGTGGTGCCTCGATGCGCACCCGGGATCCGAACCCGGGCCACCAGCATCGCAGCGCGCACTTAACCACCAAGCCACAGGGCCGGCCCGGGAAATATGTTTTGAATGTGTTTTTCTATTAGGATCATATCCTAACCCTGTTGCTATGTGAACTAATTCACCATTAACTTACATTTGGAGCTTGGACTCAAGCAAAGGGAGATGGACAGATGTTCCCCTTTTTCTTGAAATTAACAATCCTTTGGAATCTTGTGTCACAAAGCAGGGGTAATGGGGCAGCAAGCCAGAAGGTGGGAAAAGGGAAAAGTTTTGACACCAAGAACACAGTGGAAAATCTTTCTAAAATGGAACCATCAACATCGGCCAAATAGCTAGAAGATGTTCACTAGAAAAAACATATATATACAATGTCCAAGTTCTGACTTCAAATGTTCCTTCCCCTGGTCTGATTGTGCCTGTCAGCCCATGTGACAAAATATGTGGTTCAAGAAATGTGGTCACTATTGGGGCAGATAGTGTGTTTTATTGTGTTCGGAGGCTGGGTATCTGGGACATCCAATCAACCTTTCACTTATTGACTCGTGTATACAAACATACGGCAGAAAGACTAACAATATTTGCCTTCGAGGGACCACCTATGGATGTTCTTCAGGCCATATGAACCCATGGAAATCCCAAGGGATAGAAGGAGGGAGAACAATGGAGCAATATAATCCAGTGGTTGTGCTTACCATTTTCATCCAGAGAAAAGTCATCCTGAGCATAGCGAAATTTTTCAGGACCACAGGCAATAAACACATCGTCATCACCAAAGAAATCATGGAGACAGGTTACCTACAGAAAAAGCAGAAACATTGGATTGATATTTGATGATCTTGTGACAATGAACTTCATACCATGTTGGCAGGGGAACAAAGATTCATCTCTGGGCCATCATCTCTAGCTCCCAAGGATCTCCTTTTTCTGAAAATACCAGGCTCATAGTCTGTACCATGGCATCTAGTGAGTAAAGATATACTGAGTGCCATGTTTCATGTGTGATAGTCTTGTTTCCATTGCATCAAGAGTAACTTTGAGACCATGTCCAAATGGAATGCCCCCCTCTGAATAAAAGTCAGCAAGCAGATGGCCCTACAAATGTCATCTTCTCTCAGATCCTCAAAGACAGAGTGCTCCTAGTCCAACTCTGTGGTCAGGGGTGTAAGCCAAGGCAGATAAGAAAGATCTGCAGCCTGCGGTGGATAGACTCTGTGGCTGACTGAGACGTGGAAGTTTCTCTCTTCATTTTCATGAGTTTTGAAAGAAGGATACCAGTTCTTAACTACTTTGAACTCACAAAAATTGGACTTTTGGTAAAAATAGACTAAGAACCTGGTAGTGGCCAAGAATACCATTCTTCCCTGAAGAACAAGGAGCGGAAAACTGTCCTAACCACTTATAACTTAATCAAGAGCAACAGATCCCCATAAGGTTGAGGTTCTGCTGGTAAAGCCACGTTCCCAGGACCCTTTCCACCCTCTGGTGTCCTATGCATTCCTGCTTCTTCACAATAGAGAGACAGTCTCCCTAACCGTTTTTCTGAACAAAGAAACGAGGGTCCCTGGGAAAGTATGCTGCTCCCTGCAGTCTCCTCACTTCTCAGCTTTCCTAATTACATTTGATAATTAGTCCAGCACATCAGGGAAACCCCAGGAGAAACCATAGAGTCAAAACATTCTTATCCCAATCCTTAGCTTGAAAGTGTTCAAAGCTTCTAATTGTTCTAAGCTACCCATTCAAGCTGCCAGCATTGGCTTTCCAAAGGCATGGTGCTCACAAACTAACAACAGCTTGCTGGGTGCAGAGAGCAATATGTTACATTTGAAAAATATTCATATTAATAGCATCATCCCCCACCCAGAATCTATTCAATCCCTGTTCCCACAGCCAAGATGACTGAAAGCTTTATACAAAGCAAGAGATTCTTAGGGCTGGCCCCATGGCTTAGCGGTTAAGTGTGCGCGCTCTGCTACTGGCGGCCCGGGTTCGGATCCTGGGCGCGCACCGACGCACTGCTTCTCCAGCCATGCTGAAGCCACGTCCCACATACAGCAACTAGAAAGATGTGCAACTATGACATACAACTATCTACTGGGGCTTTGGCGAGAGAAAAAAAAAGGAGGAGGGTTGGCAATAGATGTTAGCTCAGAGGTGGTCTTCCTCAGCAAAAAGAGGAGGATTAGCACGGATGTTAGCTCAGGGCTGATCTTCCTCACCAAAAAAAAAAAAAAAAAGGAGAGATGCTTAAAGATTATCCCTATTGTCTCAGCTTCCCAATCATCCAAGAGATGCAAAGAGAAGGGAGAGAGACTTGAAACACTGCCTAAGGTTGTTCCTATTAAGCCTCTTCCTAGCCCTGTGTCCTGACCTCATCAAATAGGCCAACATCCTTCTTCAGCCCACTCATCCCTCACCCATTCATTCCACAATCATGTAACAACAATCAGAGCTACCACTAATTGAATGTTTACTCTGTGACTAGCACTCTGCTAAGTACTTCCAAATATGTCATCTCATTTTACTCTCATAACAAATCCTGGAAGTTGGCATCATCATCATCACTATTTCACAGATGAGAAAACTGAGGCCCAGAGACAATAAGTAAATTACTCAGGGTGTAAGCAATGAAGCCAAACAAATACAGATCTATCTTACTCCAAAGCCTGTGCTTTTGGTCACTCAGTAATACAAAGCACTTACATACAGTTCAGGCACTGGAGAGACAAAGATGAATAAGACTTAGGCCACAACTTCATGGACCTCACAATCTGATGGAGTCAGATACATGGAAACAGAGCATTTCAATGTAGTGTGATGAATGCTAGGGTAGAAGTATCTGTAGGTTCCAGGGGAGCTATTTAGTAGCATATCCAAGTGACCTAGTCACTGGCTTGCACTGTTAGTTCAATAAACATCCTGCATATTGTCTTGGTAGCAGATCCAATACAGAGGCTATATGGCTTTGAAACCTGCTGCAGACTCCCGCTGACATCTTGGATCTTGACTCAATAAAATCTGGAGCCCCTAACTTTGATACATTGTGTGTCTCTGAATTATTTACCCCCTGCTACCTCCTTGACCCTGAAGATCTCTGTCACACCTTTGTGTTCGAGGTTGCCCCTGACCCTAACTGGCTGCCTTTAGTTTTGATCAAGAGTGAGGGAAGCCTCACCCCTGGGTGTCCCTCCACTAATGGTCTCTAGCATTTAACACTTCGTTTCAAGACCTGCTTGTATTTTCATGAGTATTCACTTAGTCCTTTCCATTAGATCACAGGTTTCCTGAATGTAAATACCAAGTTTATCTCTCCCTCTATACCTCCCTATGGTTCCTGGTAGAATGCTTATCACATAGCGAGAATTTAGCCAGAGCTATTTTTGCCTCAACTAAATGTAAAGAAAATAAGAAGGAGGCCTTGTAAGAATATACAAAGGCAGAAAAGTAGGAACAAGAAAGAAGAAATCAATCATGGAAGACAACAGGAACTAGCATTCAAAAGTTTTGAAAGGTAATACAAATACACAAATTTAGGAACAAGAAAGGAACAATGACTGTGAATTCAGAAGTTATTCTTTGCACAACTATGCAGACTAGTTTGAAAACTTAGGTGAAATAGATGATTTTTAAAGGAAAACCTAAAAAATGAAATTAGCTAAAAAAGAAATAGAAAATTTCAACCAACTAGTAGCCATAAAAAGAATTGAGCAAATACTTCAAACAGTAACTCTTCCCCAAAAGGCACTTTTCATTTTGGAGGTATTTGTGGAAATTGCTTCCCTAGAAGAACCAGAAGCTCAAAAGCAGCCATCGCAGTGACACGCCATGATATCCTATTGTAGGACAACAAAGCCTTCACAGATTGCTTTGGGGGTTGCTGTTACAATGACCTACCCTCCTCCAACCCTAGGCCTCTCTGCCTCCACCCAGACTTTGGGAAAAGCCTTTGGATAACCCCTCCTTTGGGGAACTTCTAAGAAAGGCAAAGCCCCCTATGCTTCTGACAAACTCACAATGGTGTGGCTGGCTTCAAACATATTCATTTTGTAATCCAGCTGTTCAGCATCAGGTTTCTCGTGTGAACACACCCCACATTTTACTGGCTCCCAAATGTAGACAAATTCACATTGTGCATGTGGATACCCAGCTTTCCCAAATGCCTTAGATAGTGAAACACAACAGCTCTCCCTCCTTTGTCACAGAGTTGGGAAAATAGAAAGCTATCCATCTTAAATATGAGGAACTCGAAGGTGGCCAAAGTCAAAGTGGCCCAAGGATGCACAAATGGTTCATGGCAGAGTTGAGACTAGCACTCAGGTGTCCTGATTCAATTCAGGACAAAACGATTCAATTGCCTGAGAGAATATGCCTTCCTAAAGTCCAGGCTTCAAAGGCTTGTATATAGCCTAGACAGGAGAGTCCCCACTTGTCCTAATCAATGCCCAATATGTATTAGAACATTTTACTGGATTTAAAAAAGAAAGCGTCTTTATGGATCATATTTTTAATCTATGGACAAGAAAACTTCTATTCATTACTGTAACTGGCAACTGTGTATGCGGTGGAGAAGGAGGACAAGGAGAAGGAGGAGGAAAAGAAGAATGAGGAAGATGAAAAAGAAGGAAGAGAAGAAAGAGAAGAATGGAGTGTAGGAAATAATTCCCAAATGAAACTCACACTCACACCTGCTTTTTAAAATTCCATGGAAGTAACGTGATACAAAGTCCGCCTTAGCATACATTGCAAATATATAATTTTGAAAATTTGTTTTTTGAGATAAAATTTCTGTCATGAGGTGGCAACAGAAGTGGAAAAATAATAATCGTTAAGATACCACTTACAGCATCCTCAGAGATCAAGGGTCTTGCTGACATCAGCTTTTGTATGAGTCACACTTGTGTATTTAAGTCAGAGACGAGAACACAAAAGCATGACACCTGTCTTTGTAATTAATCAACTGCCAGCACAAAATCAATAAAATCAATTCACATTAACATTAAACCATTAACTCAATGTTCTTCCTTAAAAAAAAAAAAAACAGCAGGTATTGGGGGAAGGGAAGCTAGCTTGGTTGTGCATTAGTGTGAACAATAGATTACATGGGGCATCCGGTGGCTTAAATGTGGAAGTACAAATAGAGAAATGGAGACAACAGATGACTGTGTGGAAGCAGTTTGAGTCTATTAGCTGCAAATGGCAAATTCACTCTGTGACTTGATTTAAGCTTGATTAGTTTCTCCATCCACATATTACAGATGCTGGCAGTTAGTTGTACGTTCCTGCTGCTGGTAGATTCTACATTTCACTAATGGTTCAGAAAGAAATTTATCTCTGGAAGTAAGGTCTTGCTTGTATATCTATGAGACTCACTTTCAACATGCAAAATATTTTAATTGAAAGTTCAATTCCACTAATATTCATTAATTAAGCACTGACTATGGGAAAGGAAGTATGTGAGAGATACAGAAATGTACAATAAAAGGCCCCTGTCTTCAGAGTTGACAACATAATAAGCAAGTCAGAACCACACAAATAGAATACAGGGCAGACGGTTGTTAGCACTATTATAGAGGCACAAAGAGCAAGGGGAGCACAGAAGACAAAGAGAACAATTCTAAGCATGAGAACTGGGGAAGGCTGCACAGGGATGACACAAAATCTGAGTCTTGAAGGATGTGTGGGATATAGGTTGACGGAGATAGGAGTAAAGAGTATTCTGGGTAACTGCATAAATAAAGGCAGAGAAGCAGGAACATGCCTTTTTTTAATAGCCCTGGAAAAAAGAACCTCATCTTGTT